TTAATTTAAACTAAAGATATATGCATTCATAAGGTGCTGACTATCACTTAAAAAGTACATGATTTTTCTTTTTGGTGACGGATTGACTATACAGAACTATTTACTGTGAAATGTTGTAGTAACTGCAAAGGTAAAAGGTATACATCTGCTCATAGGCCCCAGTTCTAGATATGGCTCAGTTTTCAAACTTCTCTGCACCCATAACAGGGAAATCCTAGGCCTATGCCAAGAGTGAGTTAGGGTAACTTTCCAGATGTTTCTAAGTCTGTAGTGCCCAAGAAGGGTCTCGGAGTTACAATTCTAAAATTACCCTTTTTCTAGGAATCTCATTTACATGATCTTGCAAATTAATGCATGTCCAGCCTTAAAGATGTAGTTCCAAACTCTTTATTGTAACTTGGTAGGACAGCACAGGTGGGAATATCCAAACTCTTCAGGGGTCCCTACAGCTTCTCAGCATCCAGGAGCATCAGAGAGCTTTCATTGGAGCATAGTAGCTAACAAAACAGGATATTCTAGTGTTACTTCTTTCCAGTTTTTTGACACTAGCAAGAATCTCTTCATAGCCTCCAGGGACACAGCCTGCACAGGGAGTCACACCCTTAGGCCTGGGCTAAAGTCCTGAGCCCTCATCCAGGCACACTGCCTGCACAAAAGCCTAACCATCCAGACCATGAGGTCTTACAACAGTCACACAGCCTGATTTTACATACCATCCTGTCCTTAGCTAAGGACCCTTCCAGGACAGTGCCTCACACAACCCAGTGCCCAACCCACTGATGACAAACTCTCCAGAGTTTGGCCAGCTGACACTACAGAGGACTCTGTACCCACCCCTATCACAGTACTCTGGAGCCTTCTTACCAGAGTCTGACAGGTGATACAGTGCAGTTAGTCCCAGAGCATAATGTTCACCACTTTAACACATCAAGGCTGTCCCTGAAGCTATCCCTGCGGTATTTTTCCAGCAGTTAAAAGTAAAACCCTGACCGAGCTTCTAATGCTTCCATGCTTTACTGCAGCCAGTGAAAATAAATATAATTTTGCAAACCAAAAGATGACAGAGTCAATATATAAATTACACAATTCACTTGACCTGATTTACATAAACAGCACAAAGTAAAAACATGGGCCAACATGAAATAATTCATATTTACACATTTTCTCTTAAAGATTCAGCCCTATGCGATGTTTTATATAATATCAATGTAAGTAATCTTGCTTTATTGTAAGGATAAGCCTCTAACACAATGCTATAGCAAACATGTAGATACTTATTTACATTTGGGCTTCACCAGAAGAACAGGCCTTCCCACCTAGATGACAGAAAGCTAGTATTTTAGCTAAGTATTTTACATTTTAAAGGCAGTCAGGCCTATTCAGGAATGGTATTGCTGCTCATGTTCAGGTCAAAGTATAATTCTACCCGAATATCATACATTTGATTCAGGAACGTGTAAACCAAACATCTGCAATGTTCCTGGGAAATTTTGGCTAGCTGTCCCATAGTTTCCTGGGACTCTATAGCAACCAATCTACAGTGGGCAGACTTGGCCCCAGGTAGCACTCACCACTGGCATGTTCTACCAACTAAAATAATAAATAAATAAATAAATAAAAGCACAAATGAATACATACATAAATTAATAAAACGTGATACAATTTAAAAATGTTAAGTTCAAACATTTAAATGATCGTGTTATGCATGTATTTATTTATTTTATTATTGGAGAGATCTTCAAGGGCCTGCTGCCTCTGTTCTGAAGCCTGTCTTAGTTTTGGGGAAGACGCCTCCAAGGGCCTTCTGGTGCCACCTCAGATCCATGCTAACAAAATGACAAAAAAACAAAATGTGTCAATACAATGAGGTTCTTCTAAGGTGCTTGTACAAAGCCTTTACCAGCAGGAATGCCTCTGCTACTCATTGCAGCTCTGGTATCCATAATGGATGAGCAGGCAGCAGCAGTAGCACCACCACTTCCAGGGAATGTCTAACAGAGGTGTTGCAGTCTTTCTACAGGCAGCAGCTGACAAGCCTGGGCCCAGGTAGCATTCACAGTATCAAGTTTATTGCAAGGATACCAGCAACCTTGGAAGTACAGATGAGCTTTGGGTTTGGGTTGAGCATGAGTTCGACCCAAACCCAAGTCATTTATGGTTCAAGAAAATGGAGAACTAATGCGACTCAGCCGAACATGCTGAGCATGTTCGGCTGATCCGAAGCCACATGAAGCAAGCCGTACCAGCCGTACCAGCCTGAAGTGAATAGCCGAACAGTGTTTGGCTCACTTCACTTCTGATCGGTCATTCACTCGGCTGCCCTCGGCAGCTTTGTGAATAGACCCCTATGTGTCTAAAGCAACCATCCATGCACTTTGTGGCCTCTAAACTATGGTCATGTGGCTTAGAAGGGCCAATCATGCTAGCTCCTTCCCTATAAAAGTCATGGTTCCCAGCAGACTTTTGTCTGTATGTTTTAGAGGAGACATGGAGTAGTTATGGACAGATTACAGAGTGTTTGCAGGGAGAGCTAGTTGTTGCTGCTGCTGATTTATGCAAATTCAAGTGTACATCACAGCAAGCTCCCCAGACAAAAGAGCAAACTCCTCTTTGAGGAGTTTGCTCTTTTGTCTGGGGAGCTTGCTGTGATGTACACTTGATTTTGCATCAATAAACGCAGGTTTCATTGTTTGTATCTTGCAGAGTGCAGTTATTCTTTGGTTTCCGTTCATGCATGGTGAGGGCACACTTTACAACCTGTACCTGCGGAGGAAAAACACCAGTTTAGGCTTATACTACAAGAAACACATCTTTTAATTCAACTGAGGTTTCTTTAAAAACATGTTTAAGGTGCTGCTAATGTGTACAAAGAAAGTTTTTTTTTTAAAGAGCAAAGCATGAGCTTCCAATGAACGTAATCACTTTTAAGAGTTGCAAAAACATTATGCTTAGTGATTTTATGTATACATTCTTAAAGGAGAACTATGAGGTGAGTGATTTTAACTCATCCTCATAGTTATAGCCAATGTGTGACAATGAAACTGTCACACGTCGGCACTATAGATCGAGAAGTGAGCAAACACATACCATCACTCGCTCACTTTCCGATCACCTCCCTGCAGAGAGTGGTGACTGTCAGTCACCACTCCTCTCAGGGATTCCCCCCTCCCCTCTCCAATCCTCCAGTACTGACTGGAGGAACGCACAGGGGAGGGGGCGGTCACAACTGGTTCTGCCTCTAGATAGGCAGAGTCCACTGTCAATCAGCCAGCTGGGTGGATCTCGACAGTATTGTCAGGATCCATCCCGGCTGTGGCACTCTCAGTATATAGATTGCTATATACTGAGCTTTGGGTCACGGGAGGACGTTAGTATATGTCCTCCCGTGACCCTTAAGAGAACTATGGGATAAAAAGGTTATCCCATAGCTCTTTTTTAAGGGACCCCACAAGCTGTAAATTGAAAGATTTGCATCTTTCCAATGCTGTCATTGAAGCTGCATAAAATCCCCCCCCCCCCCACCCCCCTCACACACACACAAAGCTGTACATATTTCCCCCTTATTTTTTAATAGCAGCATGTTGTTCATGTTGGACAAGTGTTCGACTTTCCATGCCATTTTCTTGCATTTGACTGCTGTACTGCAGTTGCCCCCACAAGAGGCCCACATAAAGCACCAGAAGTTTTCTTCCCCATTGACTTTATTAGTGTCCAGATTCAATATTTTCTGAAATCCGAACATTTTGATCTGTTTGGCCAAGCTGTTCATGAATGGGGTAGAGGCACATTCAAGCATTTCTTTTTGAAAAAAGGCCAAGAGAAAACTGCTAAGTAACTCATGGTAGGCAATCACAGTGCAATAATATGATACAAATATGATGCAACTTACTAACTTAACTTGATAAATAAACCTAATTTGTAATTTAGTTGGCAAATTTTCCATCAGCTTTTAACTAAAGCAATCTTCCACCCAAAAGATTTCACAGTTTCACAGTTCTGATCAATTAAACAATCAAAATTGTTTGTACAAAATTGCGGCTACATGTCAAAAGGAATTTCTGTTCAATTGTAACCACAAGCTCATCCTTTGGTCTTTCAAAACTGAGAAACAAATTAAACCATGGGTGTCACACCGCTGTGTCTGAAAACTAATTGGACAGCTTTAAACTGACAACATCAATACCGATATGGGCAGGATAGTAGATTTTTGTGGCAGTCTATAAAACACCACTGACACCAGCAGACACACAAGGGTCAATACTATTGAGTGGACAAAGCTATTGTCTAAACTGAAACTTTTTTGCTAATAGTTTCAAAAACATTGCCACAGGTAAATTCATGCCACAAATACATGCACTCCCATAGGGAAGACTCTTTCATTCGGTTACATTAAATAGATTTTTACATTTTCATATATGGAATTAGTATGAATAGTTAAATCTGTCGAGATAGCCTTCTGTAATCTTTTACAAAGCAGAACTCTGCTATTCACAACTCTCACTGGGAGAGGAAGGAGCAGCACTTCTGGTCAGTCAGAACTCTACTGGTTTACACTGTGCGGCAAGTTCACATTTTGAACCTGTTCACACGAGGAGAGCAACTGACTGATCAATTGTTTGCCTGTCCATCAATGTTTAGTCACAGGCTGAGGGCAGCCTCACAGGATGACCACATCATATTGCTTAACTGCAATACAGAAAACTGACCTGTCTATGCTCTCCGGCAGGCATGCCTGGATCACAGGATTGGCAGAACAGAATTACAAATCTTTTGGCAGGTACAAGGTTCATAAATACAGTAATATTTTAGCTATGTATTTAGCTGTTTTTGTGGAATTCAGCATTAACAGACTGCATGCATGCATTTGTAGTTGCAGTACAAAGCTCCTTTCTCTGGTCATGGCACTACATGGTCAGAATGCCTTTAAGAGATAAATATACAAACACCCCGGGTTATTGCTGATCTTGACTGTATTTGTGTCCGATATTTTGTCTTTGAAGGTTTATCAACACTGCAAGCTGTGCTGGATTCTGCAGCTGAGAAGAAATGGCAAGTGACAGCAATCAACGTTGGCAACATTAACAATGACCGGAAAGATGAGACATACCGTTCCCTCTTTCAGGATCTGGAAATAAAAAAGGAAAGGAGAGTGATTCTGGACTGTGAGAGGGATAAAGTGAACGATATTGTTGATCAGGTTTGTTTTATGCCCAGATGCTACTGAATACTTACTAGCCAACAAAACCATTAATTGAATGCTGTGATTTCACTGACACATTTGGAAAATGTCATGGATAAGCCTAAGATACAGTACATAACTAATCAATGCATAGGGAAGGCATTGTTTTTTGCAAAGGGAAGCACTTCCATTCAGAAATACACTACAGAGCCACCTAACTACCACACCTATATGAACTTGTTGGACATTCTATCCCAAAAAATAGTTGTTTATGAAGTTGGCCCCCCTTTGTGGTCCACTCCTTTCGGAAGGCTTTTGAAACCCTTTTCTCCAAACAGAAAAGCGATCAAATAAAAATGGAAAATGCACCAGTAATCACTACTACCATTAGCACAAGGTTTTCATCACTGGAGACTGTAGCACACAGCCTTTGGCACCCAGAGCAATATCCCTAGGATCATTGCTAGGATCATTTAATTTATAAAAAATATTTTAATTATAAAGCTTCCTTTTTTTTCATTTTCCCGGTCCTAAGCAAGTTGTTACAATGTGGAAATCACCTTATATGATATATTTGTATTTTTTACATTTTATAGCGAAAAGGTGTGTAGGTGATAAACTTCCAAGGAAAATCCCCATATTTGCCTTTGCCACCTATAGGCACAGGGCTATAGTGATAACAGTATTGTCTACGAGTCTACCAGGGAAAAACATGAACTGGAGAGGCACAAATTTAACCAGTTGGTAGAAACGCTGGACAGATACATGTTACCTGAAACAGGCATTTCATGCCAGCAAAGTAGCTACTGTTATTTTTCTGTAGTGTGCACAACCTTGTTTTAAAACTGCAAATGTCACTTTTTCGTTTAGCTACTTATCCTTACTACACTACAATGAAGGGCCTTTGCTGCTATATTTAGTCATTCCATTATTTCTTTTACAGGATTGAGTTATTAGCTTAATTCCCACTCAACAATGAGGACCAAGGTATCATTTTTATCTGGGTCCTGATTGAAGTCCTTCCCTATTCTTGCTCATTTGGCAAAAGTAGCCGTACAGTTGAGAAGCATTTACACAATTGTAAACTTAAACTAACAACAAAAAATGTAACAAAAAAGTTAATTTAAAATATAGTGCAACAAGAAGTTAAAGAAGGTATTGTCAAACATTTAATGTCTTTCAGAAATCAAATGAATTTGTAGATAGTCATCAACTTTTCCTTTTTTTCTTAGGTTATCACCATCGGAAAACACGTAAAAGGTTACCATTATATCATAGCAAATCTAGTGAGTATAATGCAAAAATTATTTATACCTAAATATAAAAAAGTAACATTTGTATTATTCATTGTATTTACTTTGCTGGCAATTGTGCACTTATATAAAGGTGTGATCTGCAAGCAAAAAGCTTTAATATGACTTCTTGGGTTACCTTGTTACAATTTTCAGTACTGCTTAAACTGAAACTTTAGCAACCACGTTTGCGAGTGCTAGGACTTGAACTCTCAAAAAATTTTGAGTCAATGGGATTTATTTTTAAAGTAAGCATTTTATGGTAACATATATAAATGGGTATATGTGTGTTGCCGTAACATTTATTTTGAGTGGCATCCAACATAGATATAAAGAAAAAATGCATCTGCTGCATGCACAGATGTGAATGTAATTTGATGCACTGTGTTGCTAAAAATAGTGCAGAAATTTTTGTGCACTAGGGTGCATTAACAGCCCATTCAAAATGAATGTACTGCCTTAGCACAACCTATAGGCTTCTATTTAGAAACAATTTGCAGAGCCATCCACCCTGCTCTGTGAATGTTCTTTCTGTGTGAATGGAGGCAAAATTAAACATTCCTATTGTATTTTCTTTTCAGATTGATTGTAATATTCAGAAAACACTACATTATGGCCACTGGATGCAGCTGTGTATTTATTTCCTATGCTTTTAAGCTCCATCTAGTGGCCATAATGCAGTATTTTCCAAATATTACATTCAACCTTAAAAAGAAAATATACTAAGAACATTAATTTTTTGCCTCTATCCGCACAGCATGTTCACAGAAATTTGCAGGAAACTAGCTCTGTGAATTTTTTTATAAATAGACACCATAGTGCAGGAGTAGGCAAACTCCAAGTGGGCCCTGAAATTAGCTTTATAAGACAAGAAGAGATCCTTCCAACTGTGTTTTGTTTGTAATTATTTTCATTGATTTAATTAATATTTTGGGCTTTGTCTATCTGTTTATTCATTGACTGAGATGTTAGCTCCTGTTGGGTGTGACTGTGGGGTATTGCATTTGCTGTGCTTTTTCCTCTGCTATAGTAAATTATATTTAGTAGAATCCCCCTAACCAAAATAGGTTTTAATAACGCAATAATGCAATTGTAGGGTTGTACAGCAATTTTCAGGCATGTTCTGGAATGATCTACAGTATAACCCATGCATAAGTCAAAATAATGATCTCCAGCCAATCATATCTAAGGTGCCTGGGCAGTATGTTTTAACTAGGGATGCACCGATACCACTTTTTTAAGGCCGAGTACGAGTACCGATACTTTTTTCAAGTACTCGCCGATACCAATTACCGATACTTTTTCTTAAAGGGACAGGTCACATTTTTTCTAAAGCAATACAAAATCATGATTTTAGGTCAGTTTCTTAATATTATGAAGAACATGAACACTCTGTAGTGTGGCACAGCTATATCCAATTCTGCATACCTGGCTTTATATTATAAGAACTTTATAATATAAAGCCAGGTATGCAGAATTGGATACAACTGTTCCACACTATACAATAATACACTGTTCTGGAGTCTGTACATGTGATAATCTATTTTCCCCACTAGGGGGATACAAGCCTTAGTTAGCAATGGCATGATAAATATTAATTTCATTATTCAATGTCTTTTTTTTATATTATAACATTTATAATATTAAAAAAAAGACATTGAATAATGAAATTAATATTTATCATGCCATTGCTAACTAAGGCTTGTATCCCCCTAGTGGGGAAAATAGATGAGCACATGTCCAGACTGCAGACCAGAACACAGTGTGGCACAGCTACAGCCAATTCTGTATAACTGGCTTTATATTATTATTACATTTTCTTCTAATATAAAGCCAGGTATGCAGAATTGGATATAGCTGTGCCACACTGTGTTCTGGTCTGCAGTCTGGACATGTGCTCATCTACACGCTTTAGTTAGCAATATCTACATAGTTATTTTCTTTTTTTTAAATAATATTTGCCGGTAAACAGCATTTTTGTGCCCAGCCCCATGAGGTGTGTCAGTACTAACCTGCTGTGTTGTCTTCTCCGTCTGCTTCAGCCACTCCGTGTCACAGCCTAGTCATCTGCTCCATTCTGACCTCTTCTCCCGCTGATTGGCCGATTGGATGATGACAGGCTTCCTCACCAGTCACTCCTGACTGGTGACTAAAAACTAGGGATGCACCGATACCGATACATATCGGCGGCGATACTGAGTATTTGCATGAGTACTCGATGGAGTACTCGATGGAGACGCGATGGAGGTCCTGTGTGCGGCGGATTTGGGTCCCTGAAGATGGCGGACGCTGCACAGGTACTCGTTTTATGTATCGGAGTATTTGCACGAGTACTCATGCAAATACTCAGTATCGCCGCCGATATGTATCGGTATCGGTGCATCCCTAGTTTTAACCATATCCCAGAGAGGGCAGGTAAACCCACAGAGAAGGGTGGTAGCTGGTTTAGTTTGTGGGCTTGTTCAATGCTGTAAATACATTTGACTTAATTATTAATTTTAAGGTGTGGCTTATTGTGTATGTGGTTCTTGATTTAATTTGTTAATTGGTTTTATTTATTCATTGAATCTTAATCAAAAATTGCAGGCTGCAAAAATATTGCAGAATATCATAGGTCAGTCAAACCAAAATGGATATCTTAGAGGAGCTATAGCAGCTATGTCTAATATCTGTCCACAAATAGTTTCAGAAGCAAGCATTTGAATTAACCACCAGACTCCACCTGCAACTAAAACATCACCTTATTAATTTATAGGACATCTGGCACATTATAGAAATCACTTCTACTTCCTAAATCCTTATTTTTGTTGCTGCATATTTGGAGCTTTTCATTTAAGTTTTTGACTCCCAACAAAGTAACTTGAAGGATATCTATACCCATGCCTTTTTAATTTTTGGATAGAATGGGGAAAGGTTAGGAACCCTGCCAGGTTTTGCACTATCTGAGGCCCTGTTAGAGAGATTTTCCCTCACTTTCTGTTATGGGGACAACCCTTAACCAGTCTAGGAAGTGAGGAGAAATCTAAAACTGGGAAATAGACAACATTAAAACAGAGGTTTTACTAAACCTAAAGAAAAAAATACTTCTGTCTGCATTGGTGTTAGTAAAATCTCCCCTCACTTCCTGTCCTGGGGACAACCTTTTTCACCAAAGAGGAAGTAAAGGAATTTTTCTGCAGTAAAACCAGATAGGAATTCTAAACCTTCCTCACGCTATTCAAATCTAAAAAAAAGTGTTGGATATAGATACACTTTAACTCATATGATGGTCCGCAGTAAATCACTCCCACAGTACAAGACCATGCAACAGGATCATACTGCATATAAAGATCACACAGAAGAGACTCAGTTACAAACCAAATACTTGATTCATTCCTCCACTCCTTAATCCTGCTAAGGGACCAGGAGCAGTAGTTCTGTCAATAAAAGAGTTTCCTCTAAAAATATCTTAGTTGCTAGGGTTCTAGTTGAGATTGTCCCACTTACAACTTATTATACAAGCTCTGGAGTCTGTGACCAGTTGTTTCTCCCAAGGCATACAGGTATATTGACAACCACCTTTCAAAGAAGGCTAAAGGTGTTGGCACTGCAGTACCTGTTAGCAACGTAGGAAATTCAGACTGTGCTTGAGGTAGCATTTTAAAAGCTTAAGTCATTGATCTGTTCATTCATTCTGTTCATTGATTTCAGGGAACTTCAAAAGGCTCCTGCATCTTGCATTTGTTTGTGCAGAAAGCACATTGTGGAGATTTAGGTTGTGTTTTCAGTGTGCACAGAGGCATGGTTGAATAGGGAAAGTCTTGTGTGCATGTAAAGTTGCTACCTACACGCATCAATTGTGAATCAATTTTTTGGTTTGAAATGAAATCTTCAAACTCATTCAAGTTTGTGATATGCTCTGAGTAAATTGAATTAAAAAAAGCATTCTCTCCAAACACATAATACGATCACATCAAAGAAAGATAACTATTTTCTTTTTTCACTCCACCATAAATACATTTGTGTCCATGCAGGGCACAATTTAGCTTTAACCCCCTAAATACCCCCAGCATATGCTTTCCTTTGCTCCTCCACCACTCCATTCAACACTGGGAAGGAAATACAAAGAATTGCAGGTATGGAACTGCATATGATTTACACAATGTGACAGTGCTGGGTCAATCAGTGTTGTCACAGATGGAGTCCATAGTCATGTGCTCATGATGGATCTTGTGATTCGAAGCTTACACAGTGTTTCCTTTTGCTTCTGTGGGCTGAATGGAGCAGCAGGGGAGTGAAAGAAAGGTAGGTATATGCTGATGAAGAGGCCTGAACTAAAGTGAACCTGTGGCTTTGCCTTGCATAGGCAAAGCACATGATCATTTTAAAAAAGTAGAGTAAAAATGACTAAAAATGCCAACTCACAATTTTTGGAAGATCTGATTACAATAGTGAAACAATCAGATTATCAAATTAATAGATTCATATTTTCAGAACCAAATAATACTTCTCTGGTGACATAACTGAAACACCAAACATGCCTACTTTGTGAATGCCACTCTGGCAGAACCTAGTCCAGTGGTATCCAAGGGCCACATTTGTATCCACAAGTCAAGTGGAGGGTCACATCTATATCAACCTTTTTAATGGACTTTTGCTGGCACATGCTCACATGCCTGGCAGAGATGAGTGGCTGATCTGATGTCTGTATTCTCATATTTATTCATACATTTTCATCAGTAGAACAAGGAGAGCATTTGTGTAAACAGTAGACTTATCCTTTAACTTAAATAGTTCTTGAACAGAAATAGTCAGAATGCTAATATGGATTATACTCATTATCAAAACAAATTCATAGTCACAAGTATTACTTTTAGTTTGCCCAGTTGTTGTCCAGGAAAGCCCAGTGTATTAAAGAATTGTTGCACCAACACAGCAAACAGTCACACACCCTTCCCAACCTGTGTGTCAGTAAGCAGTTTAGAACATAATAATTCTTATTTTGTCAAACATCTGCTTTCACTGCGTGACCTAGTGATATTTTATATATACAGCCTAGTGTACCTATAGAAGTGGACTCGTCAATGCAAAGTTTGAACTAGGCCTTCCTTCGAACCTTACTTGATCACCCTTTGTTACCCCACAAATACTTGCTTGCACAAATTACAGCGGGGAGGTGCTTTCAAATCACAACTGTTACCACAGGCGATTTAATAGTAAGCTGAGTACAGACACGTAGCACAGTGATGCATCCCTCTACATCCTCTGCCCTTCATCATGTGATCTGTGTTTTCACATGAGCAAGCACAGGGAATGTATGAGTTCATGACACTGTGCTGAGTGCAGTGAAGGCGGCATTTCACTAAGAACTTAATGTCACTGTTATTTTCCTCACCTGATGGACTGAAATCCATCCCGATGTTCTAAAAGTCTCTTCGAAGGTGCTATATAACTATTCCGATAGCCTCAGATTTACTTACAGAGAGAGAGAGAGAGAGAGAGAGAGATCATATAAATGAGCAGTAGTGTTCTTTTCTTTTGTACATTATTTTATGTAGTATAACTAAGATGTCTTGCAGCTGGTTTTACATTTGTGGTTCCATTCTAGTCAATGAAAGTGCAAACCTTGCCATAAAGCAATGGCTTTCTATGATGTATGATGAATTTCATAGCAAGAAAAATCTCATGCCAAAATCTGTCTCCATGATTTATTGGTTACTCTACTACTCTTGGCATATATTTCCCACTGCAGATGGGACAGTTAGAGAAGCACGCTAAAATATGTGGCCTCCAGCTCACTGAGCACTGCGCCATGCTATGCAGTGGAAAAATCAAATGCACAAACAAATCTTTAGAATAGCCATATTTTCATGTACTAGTAAATGTCTATTCTAATGAAACCTGACATAATTTAAAAAAGGTGTAGTCCGTGTGTGACGATTTACAAAACTGAGACTTACTACATCAATATACAATATATATATATATATTTAAGTATCCACCAATTTGGAAGGAATCACATTTTATCGTCATGACGACATCATGGTATGCTCTATTCCCAGAATGATGCCGGATTTCGTAAAGTAATTGAAGTGATTCGGATTAAATACAATGAATATCACAAAATAACTGACTGTGAAAGGATTTGCCACCTTGAATATAATACATACTATATAAGGCATGGGTTACACTGGCAGTTTTAATCTCCTTAGCAACCATGTTTACTGGTAGGACTGAGCTACTACAATTCTCCTTAGTAGATCAAGCTTATCCAGGTGACTGCCATCAAATACTTAAAGAATAACTCCAGGATTTTTTAAAAAAAATACTCTTGCAGTGGGGCTACCCCTATACTGCAAGGTAGCTGTTCGTTTTTCCTTAGGGGTGAAAATAAAGAAGATATTCTCATCTGATCCTCAGCTTGCAGCAGTGTCTGCTTACCTCTCTCCCCCTCCACTCTGGCTGTGGTATGTCCCTCAGCGTCCTCATGTCTAATAGACCTGTATTAGATATGATGACATCATACAGTAGATCCTTAGACTGTCGGATCCCAGGGGAGAAGAGGCCACAGGGACCAGGCAGAGGATCAGGGCAATACTTCTTTATTTTCTCCCCCTAGACACAAGGAGCAGTTAACCATTGCAGTGCAGGGGTACCCCCACTGCAGTGGTTAATTTGTCAAAATCCTGGAGTTCCCAATTAAATCTCTTAAAATCTCCTAAATCATTACTGGTGCAGCCAAAAACAAGTTCTCATATATCTGAACTGTCCAGCTTCTGGTGAGTCAGTATATGGGAATAACCGAAATCCTCAGAGTCCAGTTAAATCAATCATTAAACCAGACATTGCAGTAAAGAAGCAAAGTCTGTCCCAGATGAACGTGCCCAAATTTACTTACATGTGTTAATGGGAAAAGGACTTGGGTGAATCCTTAGACATGACTGAATGGAGGAAGATCTAGGCTGCCACAGCTAAATGTTCTCCTAATGTTTTGGCTGTAGAGAATATGCACAGGGTATTGTTTCGATGGTATTTAACACCTGATAGACCTGATCTGAATCTGCACCTGGTACTTTACCTTTATGGTTTAGAGGCTGTAATACTTAAGGCTTGCTTTTTTGCATATGGCGGCAGTACCCAAGGGCACAGAAACTCCTGATAAGGGTATACAATTTAATTAAGTCTGAATTGTGCTGTATTATGATTTATATCCTTTGGGAAGCCCAACTCAACAGGCCCGTTTTGCATCTCCCTAAGTATAGTAGACAGATGGTCACTTTTACCTTTCTAGCTGCTTGCCAAACTATTGCTAAGGCGTGGAAACAAACAACGTTAACGATAGCTTTTGGCTATCTTGACTGATTCCCATTCTAAATTCCATAAAATGTGGTCCCCCTGATTGGAATATAACTGCCATTTGAATTTGAACCACTCCTTGCTCTCACTTTGATGGCATAACAGGGTCTGCAGGACTGCAAGTTCAGGTCATTCTCTGCATATTTTGTTTCTCCTATGTCTCTTGTTTGTGCTCCATTTCTTTTGTGCTATCTCTTTTGGTTTTCTTTTTTCACTCTGGGTTTTCCTTGCTTCCACTGTTGATGGATTGCTGATGGTTCTCTTCATTTTTATGATATGAAATCACCCTCTTTTTATTTTTTTGTTTTGCTTTGCTCTTCTTTTTGTCGCACGTACTCACACGTACGTGTAGATTTTAGAGATGGGTCATACATTATGTTCTCTTTGGACTGTACCATTCCCTTGAGGATCCTTGGTGTATGGGGATGGCCTGGGGTGGCTTTGGAGATCCAAAGAGACTGGGGTCCCTTGTTTGAATCTTTGCGTTAAGTTTTCATGTTCTCAGTGCACAGGCTTTCTCTGGGTACTCTGGTTTACTCCCACACTCCAAAAGACATGCTGGAAGATTAATTTGCTCCGGTCTAAGTTGGCTCTGTATGTATGCATGTGGGAATGGGACCTTAGATTGTAAGCTCCATGAGGGCAGGGACTAATGTGAATGTAAAGTGCTGCGTAAATTGTTTGCAATATATAAATACCTGTAAAAAATAAAAGTAAATAAATTGAGATATTGCAATAATCCCAACTAGAAAGTAGGGTTTATTCACACAATCTATATTTAACTGCATTGATAGCATAGATAAACCCAGGCTCATTCAAAAAACAATGCTGCATGAGGTGGGATGCAGTGTGTTCCATAATTTTGGACCTTAGTGCCCACTTTTCTGCACCCAACACAACTTTATACCTTTTACAGTAGCAAATGTTCACTTTATGATATTAGTTTAAGGTTAAATTCTGATCTTAAAATAGGTTATACAATGTCTTCTAGAGAATATATCCGTATAATTTGCTGATTTATAGGAACAATAAATAGCTTACTTATTTCTTTGACAATGTTATTATAAGAAATACATTTTTAATTCACTTGATTCAATTCTAGGCAAGTGGAAAACATAAAATATTTGACTGATAAATGACTAGACGTTATTGCATCTCTTTATTATGAACATTTCCCTAAGTTGCAAAGCTTTACAAGCAGGAACAGAGCAAAGTATATTCGTGTTTTTTTTTTTTTTTTGCCTTAAAGGTCTCATGAGAGACTCTCTTTAATATATTAAAATTCTGCTGTTGGAAAAAGCATATCTGAAAATCTAATAAATGAATATTTTTCACCCAGGGCTTTACGGATGGAGATTTATCAAAGATACAGTTTGGAGGAGCTAATGTGTCAGGATTTCAGATTGTAGACTATGATGATCCAGCAGTTGCCAAATTTATACAGCGTTGGTCAACACTAGAAGAGAAGGAATACCCTGGAGCACACACTACTACAATTAAGGTAACATTCGTCCTTGTTTGCTGTGACCTTACATACATACTTTTAGGTGCAAAGCTCAAAAGCATCATAACTGAAAATAATATACAGTCATTCATACTCATATCTTTTATCCAGATATAACATTTTATATACCTATCTTCTTATTTAATTGTGTTATAGATCTAGAGTGGGTATAGAAAAAAATCACCCCCCCCCCTACTCCCCCTTTAAAATAATCACATTTTGTTGCTTTGCAGAATGAAATGAAGACAGACACAGTTTTTGTTTTATCCAGCTGCTATTTATAACATCCAAGTAAAAGATGTAACACCAACATGTCAGAAAGAAATTTAGAAAAATACAAAAACAGAATCACTGAGTTGGAAAAAGGCTTACCCCTTGTGTCAGTATTTTGTTGAATCACCTTTTGCTTTAATTACAGCCTTTAGTCTGTTGGGATATGTCTCTAGTAACTTTGCACATCCAGACTTTGCAATATTTGCAGAACTGCTCAAGTTCAGTTAAATTTGATGATGACCGTTTGGGTCATTGTCATGTTGGAAGGTAAACCTTCTTCCCATTGACAACTTTCTAGCAGAGGGCAGCAGATTTTCCTCAAGAATTTGACGGTATTTTGCCCCATCCATCTTTCCTTCTACCCTGACAAGTGCTCTAGTCCCTGCTGCAGAGAAACGCCCCTGTAACAGGATATTACCACCACCATGATTTACTGTAGGAATGGTGTTATTTGGATGGTAAGCTGTATTGGATTTCCACTAGACATATTGTTTGGTGTTGAGGCCAAACAATTACATTTTAGTCTTATCTGACCTTAACACCTTTTTCTATGTGGTCAAAGAATCTTCAAGGTGCGTTTTGGCAAAGCTTAGTCGTAACTGCATGTGGCCTTTCTTGAGGAGTGGCTTTTTTCTTGCAACCCTCCCATACAAGCCACATTTGTGGAGAATTTGTCATATTGTTGTCACATGCACACAATGACCACTCTTTGTCATAAATTCCTGCAACTGCTTCAGAGGAGCTCTTAGTAGCCTCTCTGACCAGTTTTCTCCTGGCTCTTTCATCCAGTTTACGTGACGTCCTAATCCAGGGAGGGTCTGTGTTGTACCAAATACCTTCCACTTATTAATAATTTAATAATAATAATACATATAATTTAAATAATAATTTAATAAATTAATCTACTGTGCTTCTAGGCTATGATAAAGCCTTTGAATTTTTTTTTGATCCATCTCCTGACTTGTGCCGGTCCACAACTTTATCCCAGAGATCTTTTGACAGTGCCTTGCCACCCATATTGATTGTTTGCTTCAGCTGCACTACCAGGGACTGAAATGTTCCAGGAAAGCTCTTTTCATGCTGAGCTAATCAAAATGATCACAGCTGATTACAGTTGAAAGTCAAATGGTTTTATGTGCCATTTAGAAGGTGATTAGCTTCACCTGATTTGAGTTTACAAGTCATTTTTAGGAGGGGGTGATCCTTTTTCCAACCTAGTAAATTTGTTTTTGACATATTTTTATGTTTTTCTGACATGTTGGTGTTGTATCTTTCACTTGGATGTTATAAGTTGTATAAGTAAATACTGCTGGATAAAACAAAAACTGTGTCTGTCTTCATTTCACACTGCAAAGTAACAAAATGGGGGGAATTTATCAAAACTGGAGCAAACAGAATCTGGAGCAGTTGCCTATGGCAACCAATCAGCTTCTCTCTTCAGTTTGCTCAGGTAAGATTTGAATATCAGAGAGAGAAGCTGATTGGCTGCAGTGCAAATCTGCTCCACATTTTGTCTGCTCCAGTTTTGATAAATTCCCCCCAATGTGTTTATTTGAAAGGGGGGTGATTCTTTTCTATACCCACTGTACATGTGGTGATACATATAGACAAAAAGGGGTTGCTCTACTAAACAAATAGGATGTTCACTTTGCAAGAGAATTTGCACTTTGCTGCAGAAGTTTCTTCTCAGTTTAGTGGATGAGGCGAAGCTCTGATGCTTTTCATCAGCTAATCATGTGCAAGCAACAATGCAGGTATTTTTAACATTTTCCCTGCACATAATTGGGTATTTTTTGCAATGTGAAACATCACTACATTTACCAAGCCAACCCCCTTTTTGCTGAACTGAGCACAACTTGAAGCCACCTTGTCATACCTAACATGTTTACTACATTAAATTTGCCTTTTACCTTTATTTTGCAGTATTCTAATGTGAGCTTGACCATAGCTTCAACATATTGTACAGAGTTTATATGCTAATATTATTAAAATTAGAATATTACCAGCTGATAACCCACACTGGGCTGCCATGTCAACTCATGTCAGTCACATTGTATTATGTTTTTTCTTTGTAAAATGAGCCGTTGTGTTGATATCTTTTGGTGTGGAAACAAATCACATATTTATATTCATATTCATGTTGACTGCTTAGTGCCTCCAAGCACTCTGCACCAAGCTAACCATGGGACATTCTACACGTCCTACTTTTCTAGGAAGCATAACAATTGACTTAAATGCTTCATTGGCAGCCTACTTTCATCATAACATTTTTATTTACTCATTGGCATAAGATGATGTTTAATTTGATTATTTTAGAGCAAATCTGTCATCTGAGGCTTTGAATATAATGTTGGTGTTATACATACACTTCCAGTATGGAAATCCTAACAATTAACTATTTTCTTCTCTTAAATATTATATTGAAAGCATTTTGTTATAACTGTATTTAACTGTAAAAATATCTGTTTTTTATGTCAGAAATGTAGAGATGACTTGTGCCCTGTTATTTCTGCCCGGGGAATCTCAAAGAATCTTTTTATCTCTCCCTGTTGTTATCTTGGAACTACAAGACAATCAGTGGCTATGCTTTGGAGATAAAAGCAGTGGGAAGGATTAAGTAGTTTAGCAAAAAAAAACTTGGCATTGCTGACACCAATCAGTCTACAAAAATGCAGTGTGTTCTCATCCCATAATAGAAAGTTAATAGCTAAGTGCATTTCTGGTATTTTTCTGCAGTTGAAGGGGTCTATTAAGGGCAAAACATTGAGAAATGTGCATGTATTGCATATATGTACTGCACATGTTTTTCCTTGACATGTGTTTTTATGTAAATAATATCAATAGATATTTTTGATGCACCATGTGGTTATTAGCCAGTTATGCTGTGTACATTGACCCAATCTATTTACTAAAGCAATTAAGGCTAGTTACTTTGGAGAGTGTAAGTTCACAAAGTAAATGTTAGCAAACAAGGTGAGAATGTGTTAACTTTGAATATCATTATGTATAAAGGAAATGTAAAAACAAAAATCTGTATTTTTGCTAGGTCATGATTTAAAGATTGACGCGAACAATGTTTCAGCTTATTTACAAAGTTCTGTGAACATCCACTTTACTAAGTGAACAGCCTCGGTTCTTTATGAAATCAATTCCATAATATGTTTTTACCTTCTTAACCCCTTAATGATGAACGTAAAACAAAGATCTGAACCCAGTTTTGCAACATTGCCATGTACTGTATGGTGTACGGGCATATGCCATGTATAGTAAAACTGTAATATCTTTGCAACTGCTTAGTGTATCCAGGTGAATTATATCTTGTTTTTGCAAGAACAAATTGGTCCTTCTATTAGTAGTAATTGTGAATGGATATCTGCTGGTTTACTTTTAATTTCAAAGAAAACCTGGCCCAAAATAGTAAAAGGAAAAAAAATTAAACTTTAGCTGTATATTTCTTTCCATTATCATAACCCACCCCCAAAAAACAATCAAAATAAGTTCTCCTACTCCTCATGTGCATGGAGATACCACATGTGTGTGCATTATTTGTTATTTGTACTTGTAGAATGGCCTACAAACAATGGTGCATATTTAAAAAAAAATGTAGCCTCCATAAGAGACATAGAAACTGACACCAACACTGACACTGACATTGACGCTAACTCTAACACTGAATCTTAGGCTGGGCACACACCTTACAACCATTGCAAGACTTTTGTCTTGCGATGGTTGTAAGGTAATTAAAAAAACGTACGATCTGCCCATCTCGGACAGGCAGATCGTACTTGCGATGACTGCAAGCGGGGCGAGCTTCCGATGACTGCAATGCAGAACGGGCAGTATGCGCTTGCACACACTGGCACATTCGGCTTTTATCTTATGAACATGCTACACACCTGCCGAAAATCGTACGATTTTCGGCGGGTTTTCGAACATGTTCCTAAGATCGTGCGACCTTACAGTAGCAGAGGTCGCACGGCTCCCACACACCTTACAATAAGCGTACGATCGCGAGATTTCCCGCGATTATCGTACGATTATAGTAAGTTGTGTGGCCACCTTTAGATCAAGCCCTGGTCTAACTATTTTATTTGCATTTTTTTTAGCATACTTTTATACAGGCTTCTCTTCTACAAATTATTTTTTTCTTCTTACAGAGTAAACCGAGATACCGGGGAGGCTCCTGTTACTAGTGATCCCTGTGATTAGGGCCATCTTATAAGTGGGGCGGCAGGCGTGGGGGGGG